AAAGAAGACCCAGCACAGCCAAAAATAAATAAATAAATGAAATCAAAAAAAAAAAAAAAAAGTTGCAAGAAAAGCTCAACAAACACCTTCATCCAGATTCACCAATTAACATTTTGCCACATTTGCTTTGTCTCTCTCTCTAAATATACACATATATTATTATTATGTTGAATCATTTGAGGGTAAGTTATAGACCAGGGCTGTCTAAAAGAACCATCTGCGAGGATGGAAACGTTCTGTATCTGCATTGTCCAATACAGCAGACACTAATCTCATGTGGCTATTTAAATTTTAAGTTAATTAAATTTAAATAACCACATTCTAAGTGCTTCCTAGCATGTGGTCAGTGGCTACTATATTGGTCAGTGCAGATATAGAACATTTTAGTATAATATGGTAGCCACTGGCCACAGGCTAGTGAGCACTTGCAATGTGGTTATTTATTTATTTATTTTTAAATTTTATTTTATTTATTTATTTTTGGCTGCATTGGGTCTTTGTTGCTGTGCACGGGCTTTCTCTAGTCGCGGAGAGAGGGGGCTACTCTTCGTTGCCTTGTGTAGGCTTCTTACTGTGGTGGCTTCTCTTGTTGCTCTAGAGCACAGGCTCAGTAGTTGTGGCTCACGGGCTTAGTTGCTCTGCGGCATGTGGGATCTTCCCGGACCAGGACTCGAACCCGTGTCCCCTGCATTGGCAGGCGGATTCTTAACCACTGCGCCACCAGGAAAGCCCCCGCAATGTGGTTATTTAAATGTAAAAAACTTAAATACTGTACTCCTGTACCCCTAAATAATTACATGTGTATTTCTTAAAAACAAGGACATTCTCTTACACAACCACAATCTAATTATAGAGTTCAGGAAATGTATCACTGATACAATCCTGTTGTCTAAGACACAGTCTTATTCAAAGTTGGCCAATTGTCCCTAAATGTCTGCTGTAGTAATTTCCTCTTCCCACCCCAATCCAGGATCCAATCGGGGGCCACACATTGCATTCAGCTATCATTGTCTCTTTAGTTTCCTTTAGTTGAGATCCTCATCCTGCCTTTGTCTTTTATGACACTGACATTTTTGAAGAGTACAGGCTAGTTGTTTTAATTTTCTATTTTATTATTATTTTTAAAATTATTTATTTATTTTGGCTGTGCCGGTTCTTAGTTGTGGCACGTGGGATCTTTAGTTGTGGCATACGAACTCTTAGTTGCAGCATGCATGCGCGATCTAGTTCCCCAACCAGGGATTGAACCCGGGACCCCTGCACTGGGAGTGTGGGGTCTTACCCACTGGACTACCAGGGAAGTCCCCGGGCTAGTTGTTTTTAAAAATGTCTCTTAGGGAAGGAAGCTGCATGGTGCGGCCTAAATAAATAAATTAATTAAAATGTCTCTTAATAAGTCCTAGAGCTCTCCTGTACATCACTGTGTTTATAGTTAGCAATACTGTACTGTACACTAAAAAACTGTTCAGATGGTACTTCGATCTCATGTTACCTGTTCTTATGATACACACACAAAGTCTCTTAATTTAGGTGTTTCCTCACAATTAGATTCAAGATATGTAAGCATTTGGGGCCAGAGTATCTCAGAAATGGCGTGTCCCTCTCAATATGTCTCATCAGGACAAAGCCCTGACCCCAAACTCTATGGTAAATGGTACATGTATTTGAAGGACGGAGACAATACTGGCTATGGAAATATCACGGGCCAACCTGCGAGGAACGTGTTTCTCCCCCACTTAAAAACCTTCAGTGACTCCCTTGTCACCACTAAGCGAAACCCCAAACTTCCTAGTATGGTGCTGAAGACTCTGGGCCCTAGCTTGCAGCCTTGTCCCCAGCCTCTCCAGTCACAAGGAATGGCTCACAGGTCCCCCCAAACATGCAAGTTCTTCCAAATCCTGTGTCTTTTCCTCCCACACCCTCATCTCTGGTGGACTCCTCTTCCTCATTCAAACATCATGTCCTTCAGGAAGGTTTCTATGATCTTGTCAGACTGAGACGGCCTTCAGGCTGTACTCTGAGAGCATTTTGTAGAGACCCCCTTTATAAGCAGACTTTATCATGCTGCAGTGATCTGACCACCTGTTGGCCTCCTCCTGGGTCTCCAATCATGTAACAAATCTTTTTCAAGCATCTACTATGTGCCAAGCCCATAGTGCCTGGAACACTGCGATGAACACAAAGGCATACACGATCCCTGCCTCCCAGGGCTTGTGCTCTACCACAGAAACAGACAATTAAGTACTTACAAAAGTGTCACCATACACTTTTTAGTGCCTACAGGTTCCTGGCACCCAGAAAGAGCTCAATAAATGTTTGCCCAATGAATGAACGTGATCACCCAGGAGAGACATCCTGGGTGCCCTAGGATGAGGTGGGTGAGATGGGTTACCTGGAGGCCAATGGACAACCTGTTGACTCCTGCTGCCCGGAATGCTGCCAGCCTGGAGCCTGGGGCCGAAGTGGGGTTGGCCTCCAATGTGACTTCAGAGTCTGCAGGCAGGTGAGTTGCCTGGGCCACTGCCTCCAGGACAGCTGCCACAGTGTGGGGGCTGGCCAGACTGGGGGTACCCCCACCAAAGAACACAGACTCCACTCTAGGGAAAGAGGATGGAGAAGATGAGACGTGGGGGGAGCCCTACGGGATGCCTGCACCTGTCCTATGCACCGGCCACATAATTCCCAAGACCCCGCCTACAGCCCCCAGTACCCACCGCTGCACCCCACTGAGTTGCAGCAGCGTCTGAGCCTCGGTCACCAGACAGCGTCTCATGGCAGCCTCGTCCACATCGCGGGGGATGTACTTGTTGAAGTTGCAGTAACTGCAGCGCTTCTCGCAGTAGGGCCACTGGGGGCAGGGGGCGTGTGAAAAGGACGAGAGATGACCCTGTGCTGCCCTGGCCACTTCCAGGGTTCAGTCGCACACATCCCCATCCCCATTCCTAGGTCAGTCAACAGTGGCTACCGCATCTAAGCCACGCAACTCCCCAAGGGGGTTAGTAAGCCCACTTCAATAGGAGGAAATTGAGGTTCAGAAGGGAAATCACTTGGTCAAGGTCAACGAGATGGTGAGCACCACAGACTTCAGGTCTCCGGACCAAGACATTTCCCTGCCAGGGAAAGGGCCCCAGACCTCGTCTGGTAGCGGGGAAAGACGGCAGGTGGGCTCGCAGCGCGACAAGCGCCTCCTCGCCTCTGGCCCTCCGCGTCCGGGCCTCCGTCTCCCCTTCCCACTCACGTGGACGTAAAGTGCTGCGCGCTGGCTCCCGGGCGTAGGACCCCGGGGTCCTCCCGCGTCCTCCGCGAGGCGGCGCCTCTGGGCCATCTTGGCGGCCTTCACCCAGCCGCGGGCCCGAACACTGGGGAGCGCCGTGCCGCCCGCTGTGGCGGGGCGGCCCGGTGCGCGGGCCAGGACCCGAGATCGAGACAAACCCAGTGCAAAGCGTTCGGTGTGCGCAGACCCGGGCCGGGTGGGCCGCCCGGGCGGAAGGAAAGGGGCTGCGTGGCCGCGCCCTGTGTCGGAGCGCCGCCGAGAGGGCTCCGGGCCGCAGCGCCACCGGGAGGGCTCCGGGCCGCAGCGCCACCTGCTGGGCACCGGTGCGCTCACCGCAGCCGCCCGGCGGTCCTTTCTCTGGCGGCGGCAGGGGTGCGGGGAGCTCCGCAGCTTTTGGCACCCCGTCGAAGGCAAGTTCCTGGATCAATCCAGGAACTCTTAGTTCGTTCGATGGGTTCCTTCACATTTTATGTGCCTGGTTCAGAGCTGGGCGCTGGGGCTATCCAGATGCATAAGGCCGGGGCACAGTACAGGTGCATGAGACAGGACGTAAACCAACAAGAGACAACAGGCAACCGATTTTAATTCAGCACTTGCTGGATACCAGGCCGGTGTGCTCCGTGCCGCGAGGCAGGTCTGTTACAAAGGATGTGGAATCAGTGGGGTAGGACAGGGCACTTGGACTGAATGTTGCAAGAGCATAAAATCCCAGGGGGAATGGGCTTGGCCAGGAGAGTAGGTTGTCATCTCCTGGGTCAGGCCAACCCCAGGCACCTGCTGTGAGGAGTGTCAGAGATGCTGTATGTGGGACAGACAGGGTTCAGGTGAAGGGCTGGACAAGCAGGCACCTGAAGAACTGTCCCAGAAAGTGGAAGGATCATGGGCCTTGGAGTCAGTCACCTGGGTTCCGTAATTCCAGTTGTGTGACCTTGGGCAAGTCACTGAACTTCTTGAGTTTCAGTTTCATAGTTTGTGAAATGGGGCTAATGCCTACTTGACGGTGTCATTGGGAAAATTTCAACAGGAAATGTATACGGATGCACCTGTATGTGTATAATGCCTGGCACTCAGAATACCCTAAACTTATGTTCATTTTCTAAAAAGTAAAGAGGACGCTGCTGCTGCTGGGGCCAGACACACTGGGAGGTAAGGCTTGCAAGCAGAAGGAACTTTTCTTTCTGTCTCTGTGAACTGGAAATCGCTGTGCTCAGCTGTTCTTATTTCTTGGGTCAAGCTACAGCCTGCTTTATCTGCCCATCAAGGAGGAAGCCCCAGGTTCACTGAAAATTGGGTTGGTTGGGAGGGATGGGGGAGTAGGGGGATGTAGGATGATAGCTAAAGGGTATGGAGTTTCTTTTTAAAAGGTGATGAACATTTTTTAAATTGACTCTGGTGACGGGTGCACATATCTGTGAATATACTAAAAACGATTGATGTAACACTTTAAATGGGTGAATTGGGTGGTATGTGAATTATAACCCAATAAAGCTGTTTTTTTTTTTTTTAAAAAAAGAATACTTCTTGCTGTACTAATCTGGCAACAATGTGAAAAAATATTGTGTTGGTATCTCAAAGGAATCGAGTGAGGATTAAATGAAGTAGATAGTGCACGCCAAAGTGCTTAGTACCATCGTTGACAAGGAATAGGAGGTCTGAAAGTGCTTTGGTCTCTTCCCTTCTCCATCCTGTAGCAACTGCCAAGAGAGCACGCCAGCAAGAGAACAGCCAAAGTAAACAGAGAAGCTCTTTATGCCAAATCGCAGAGCCGATGAGGGGAATGTGGGGGAAGGGCAGGGAGGAAGGATCCTCCCCACTCCTTTATTCACAGGTTTAGATGGTGTTCCATCTGCTCTCTTAGTTTGAATTTCTGGACCTAGAGGAAAGGGAAAGGAGTGAGAACCAGGCGTGGGCCTCTGCCAGCTAGGGTGACCAAGCCCAGCTGGTTTGCCTAAGACTGAGGAGTTTCTCAGGTTAAAGCCAGGAGGGTTTGGGGCAAACCAGGATGAGCTGGCTAGTTGGTTACCCTACTGCCAGCCTCTCAACAGAATCTGGCCCACCACTCGGGGAGGTATAGGCAGGCCGCCTGACCTTCTGCACCTGGGCCCCGGGCTCCCCTACCCCTCCCTGGTCTCCTTACACACCTTTCCTGAGACGGTGAGGGGGTAGTTTGTGACAAACACGATGTATCGGGGAATCTTGAAGTGGGAGATCTGCAGACCAGAGGGAGATAAAGCATGAGGCTGGGCGGGGTCCCACAGTTGGGTGTAGGGGACAGTGGGCTGACAGGTCGGCAGGCAGAGGGTGTTGGAGAAGTGAGCAACGTCGTGATGCTTGGGGTGGGTTGAGGGTCCCACCTTCCCTTTGCAGAAAGCCTTGATCTCCTCCGCTGTGGTCTTCTCCCCTTTCTTGAGCTGAATGCAGGCACAGATTTCCTCCCCCATCCGCTCATCCTTCACTCCTACCACCTTCCAGAGTCAGAGATAGAGATCAGACATCCCCATCCCCATCCACGTCCCCTGCTCTTGGGGTCTCACCTGGGCTCACCCGGGCTGGGCGCCTCACCTGCACTTCCTGCACCTGTGGGTGTGTGTGAAGGAAGTTCTCGAGCTCAGCGGGATAGATGTTCTCACCACCGCGGATGATCATATCCTTGGAGCGGCCCAGAATCTTGCAGAAGCCCTGCTCGTCCATCATGGCAATGTCTCTGCAAGGAAAGCCCAGGAGCCGCCTCTCACCTCTGCCTCATCTGGCTGGCTCGCTCACTCATTCAGCAAAAATTTATCAAGCACCTACTATATGTCTTGCACTACTCTAGCCTCTGGGGCATATGGCATGAACAAGACATTACTTGGATCGTATAGTCTCATGTAGGAGGCAGATAAAACCAAGGAAACCCATACCTATGGCATATTTTTTCTCTCTCTAAACATACCTATACATATGATTTTCATGGCTGGCTTCTTATCATTCAGGTTTCAGCTCAAACGTTTCCACCTTAGAGAAGCCTTCTCTGATCACCCAGTAAAGGGAAGCTCCCCTCCCCACCACAGCCACTCTCTCTCTCTTAGGACCCTATTTTATTTTCTTCGTGATGTTTATAAATGTCTGAAATGATCTTGTTTGTATCTGTCTCCCTTCACCAGACGTGTGGGAAGTGAGAGCAGGACCCTTCCCAGTGTGCCTTCCGCTGGGCCACCGGTGTTTAGAATCATGCTGGCACATGGCAGGTGCATAATTAGAATTTGTTGAATTAAATGAGTGACTGAATCTTGGCTCAGATTTTGCAGGCACTGTCCCAGGTGCTCTCATCTGTGCTGCATTTGGTCCTTCTGGGAGCCCTATTTGGAGACTATGGTCATCCCCGTTTTATACATTTTGGAAACTAAGTCTCGGAGATGTGAAGGGACCATCTTGACACACATGTTCTCCCTGTTCTAGTTCAATGTTGCCAGCTCAGCCTCAGGACCCCCAGCCTCCCCTCGGCAGCCCAACTCTCCGCACTGCCCTGCCTTCTCACCCTGTCCGGTACCACTTGTCCTGTCCAGTTGCTTCCTCGGTCTTCCAGGGCTCACCCCAGTAGCCCAGCATGACGCAGTACCCTCGGATGCACAGCTCTCCAGGTGTGTTCAGCTCTGCCAGTGTCCCCGTCTCCACGTTCACGATCTGGGCCTGGGACCAGGCAGCTTCAGGCTGGGGCCTCCCACCCTCTCACTTCAGGATGGGGGGCCCTCAGGATGGGGGGAGCTTTGCCTTCCTTCCCCCTAGTAATGATCCCCCTGGCTCTGCCCATCCCCAGGGAAGGGAGACAAAGGCTGGAGTAGGTCCATCACCAGTCCGACACTGGAGCTGGGCATGAAAGAATAGTTGAGGCCCAGGCCAGGAGGTGCTGAGGAAACAGTGGAAAGGAGCTGCTCAGAGGAGGAAGCCTGCGGAGGAGCCAGGCCAGCTGAAGAATTATAAACAAGGCACAAGAAAGGGGAGTCTCCTCTTACTTCCCATTAAGCAGTAAATAAAGAAGCCAAAGAGGGTGGCACAGCAGGGCCATGTGAACAGAAGAGGTGGCAAACAGGCAGAATCTGAAAGCCTAGTTGAGAAATGAGCCACAGCCAATGTGCAAGGAAAGCTTAGCCTGTGTGCCTCGTGTCTGCATCTGTGAAATGGGGAGAACTACACTTGCCCTGTCTACCTCACAGGTGGGCATCCCAGGGAGTGGCAGTGAGGCTGTCAGACACATGGGAGGGGGCTGATGTCACTGCACACTCACTTCAGGGAGAAGGGCAGTTGGTCCCTGGGGAAGCACTCTGGCAGTGACCCCAGAGGGGCAAGGGCACAAGGGGGGGAGGGGAAACCAGGTACGGGCTGGCATAAAGCACCACTGTTAGAGGCTGGGAATTTGAGAGCGAAAGGTGCTCTGGGTCAGCCTTCAAGGTGCAAGGGACCCCCAGAGGAAGAAGCTGCTTGGGAAACTGTTTATGCCAAGCGAAAAGAGGACCTCTGCCAAAGTGAGTGGGGGCGGGTGGGGAGGCAGGGCTATGGGAGGGAAAGAGCTGTGTAGGAAAAATCTCTGTGCCCTGGATCCTCTTTGAGGCTGTTCTGGTTGCCCCAAAACAGACAGTGGGCTTGGCAAAAGCACACCTCAGACAGGAAGGGAGGCTGCAGAGAAGTTCAGCTGCGGCTGACCACTGTTCCAGCTCTTCCCCACTCAGGCCTCAGCCCACAGAGAAAGCCCCAGGCCCGGCAAGACCTTGCTGCTGCAAGACCTTGCTGCTGCGGGCTCTCAGCGTCTTGAGTGAGCTGTTTGGATCTCTAATTGAACGCAATAGACATCCCAGGGGGTGAACGCCAGGCGAGTGGTGGGAGGTGGGGTCTGGGGCCCACCTCTGTGTGAGGCATGATTCTGCCCACACTTTCCGTCTTCTGCTCCACAGTGTCCTCGGTGAAGTTCATGAAGGTCACGGGACTGTTCTCTGTGGCTCCATAAACCACCTAGAAGGGTCCAGAAAGGGTGTTTGGAACAGAGCCCAGGACTGCAGCAGGGTGGGGAAGTTACGCTGAGGGAAGGAACCGGGTGGGGGGTGGGGCAGGGAATGGGGAGAGTGGAAAGGCAGTTGAATGGTGGGAAAAGAGGCATCTTCCGCAGAAGTCGGGAGGCAGAGGCACTGGATGTATTGCAGACTAGCTCAACTAGCAGGGGGCCGGGCTCTCAGTCTTTGTTCTTTCCTGGAGCAGCGTTACCAATGTCCCAGCCTTCTCCACCTCCTCCCCCGGCTGTCTTAGCACCCCCTTCCTGATTTTGGGCCACAACATCCCCTGCCCCACCCTTCCAAGCTGAAGGACCTGTAAACTTGATGAGAAAGCCAGTCTGCCTTGACCAGCTGGGAGCTACGCAGACACAGCCCACCCGAAACCCGGGACAAGTGCCTAGCCTTGGGGTAGGTGCCCCCCAAGTTCTGGAGAGTTTCCTGTAAATTTATTTTCCTCAAAATAAAAATACAGCCAAAGCAAGGATTTAAAAAGCCAGTGGCACACCCCCCCACCCCCCCTTCCAGTGGTCAGAACATCCTAAGCAACAGAAAACCAGCAGCCAGCCCTGGAGGAACATCACCAGGCGGTGCTCTCAGCCAACTATGACCCCCATCTAGAGGCGACAGGTGACAGGGGCTTAGGAGAGGGCAGGCCTCCACACCTGAGTGCTGGGTGAAGGGACAGGGGCTGGCTGCCCTGTGTTCCAGGTTCCTTCCAGCCAGCAAAGACACCAGACATTTTTTCATCCTTCAACCCCACCCTACCCGCCATTTCCTCTGTGTTAGTGGAAATGACTCAGGCATAGCTGGGGTTTGGAGAGACCTGGGGTCTGGCTCCTCCCCTCACCCCCAACACAGACAAGAACCCCTACCATCAGCCCAGAGCTCGCTTTGGGGCCAGAGCTGAGACTCTGCCTGCCCACTCTCCCCTTTCCACAAAAATGTGGACACCGTGGCAGTCACGTGGACACACAGAGACCTGGTCGGCTGGGGCAGGGCTGTCCACAGGATCTAGGGTCGAGAAGCCCAAGCTGTCCGGGGCTGGTCCCTTGTAGCCAGGACCCAGCCCCCTCACCCACCCTCACAGTCCTGGGGCCACTGCCCAGGTGTGGCTTCTGTCAAGTACACCTTGATGCCTCTCTGGCTGCCACTCTGGGAGAACCCCCCCACCAAGGGGTCCTGACCGCTGGGGGTGGGGATGAGGAGGTGGGGACATTTCAGGGAGATTAAGGACGGGGGAGATGGTGCGACTGTGCCTGTGGTCTTCAGGTGTTTGCCAAGCCCTGTGCATTCCCCTTGCCCCCAGTTCCCACTTTTCTGGTCACCTTCAGTCGTGGCAAAGGGGCATAGGCGGTGCAGGGGACAGAAACTCAAGCCCGGGGCTGGGAGAGAGGGGCCAGAGGCGGGGCCAGAGGCCAGTCCAGGGCAGGGAAGAGCTCCCACCTCCTGAGGACTGGCTGCGGGTGCAGCTGGAAGGGGAGCCCGACGCCAGAGAGCCCCATTAAAGCGCCGCCGGCCGGCGACTGCGGCGAGACTCGCTGTCCGGCCCCGCTTCCTCCCTCGCTGGGTCCAGGGCACACGGCCGAGCGCAGAAGGGGGGAGGCGTGGAGGCTCAGACTTGAGCAAACAAATAAGTTCAGGGAAGCCTCCCTCTCTTTGGTGTAAACTCCGGCCCGGGACACACCCATACCCACCCCGGCGGGGGGTGGGGGTGGGGAGGGGTGGGGGTGGGGAAGGGGGTGGGGGTGGGGAGGGAGCAGAATCCGAGGGCAGGGAGATAGGGGACCACACGGTCCCCATGGTGGGGGGGCCCCTCCCCTTCGAGGGCGGGGGCGCAGCTCCCGGCGGCCTCGCGGCTCCACGTAGGAGCTGGCTCCGGCTGCCGGCTGTGGTCAGGGCCATCGCATAAATAGGGCGGGAGACGGAGCACTGAAGACTTGCCGCTGCCCCCAGCCCCGGCCCCAGGCGTCCCGGCCATGGCCCGCCCGATCGTCTTGCTCAGCCTCGGCCTCCTGGCCGGCCTGCTGCCGGCGCTGGCCGCCTGCCCCCAGAACTGCCACTGCCACGGTGACCTGCAGCACGTCATCTGCGACAAGGTGGGGCTGCAGAAGATCCCCAAGGTGTCCGAGAAGACCAAGCTGCTCAACCTCCAGCGCAACAACTTCCCCGTGCTGGCTGCCAACTCGTTTCGGGCCATGCCGAACCTCGTGTCGCTGCACCTGCAGCACTGCCGCATCCGCGAGGTGGCCGCGGGTGCCTTCCGCGGCCTCAAGCAGCTCATCTACCTGTACCTGTCCCACAATGACATCCGCGTGCTGCGCACCGGCGCCTTCGACGACCTGACCGAGCTCACCTACCTCTACCTGGACCACAACAAGGTGACCGAGCTGCCCCGGGGGCTGCTCTCTCCGCTGGTCAACCTCTTCATCCTGCAGCTCAACAACAACAAGATTCGCGAGCTGCGCCCAGGCGCCTTCCACGGCGCCAAGGACCTGCGCTGGCTCTACCTGTCGGAAAACTCCCTCAGTTCCCTGCAGCCCGGCACTCTGGAGGACGTGGAGAACCTCGCCAAGTTCTACCTGGACAGGAACCAGCTGTCCAGCTACCCCTTGGCTGCTCTGAGCAAGCTGCGGGTGGTGGAGGATCTGAAGCTGTCCCACAATCCCCTGAAAAGCATTCCCGACCATGCCTTCCAGTCTTTCGGCAGATATCTGGAGACCCTCTGGCTGGACAACACCAACCTGGAGAAGGTGAGCTCCTGGCTGCAGGGCTCTGCCCCGGCTCCTTCTTCACTGCCAGGAGGTCCAGGGATCCAGGGCCACAGCTGGGCACCATCCCCTCTCCCCTAAATTTGCCTCTTCCTGTGGCTATCTCCAAGGTGAGGAGCTCTGCTACCTCTGTCCTCATCTTGTCATATTCTCACCCCAAATCCCGCCCTGCTGCCCCTGTCCCTGGTCTCGGCCACTGCCCTCCTAGGATTCCCACTTAGGAACAGAGCTGGGGCTGCCCTGGCCCCACCAATGGCCCCCAGGAGGCATGTCCAGGGCTCCCAAACCCCCTGCTGTGGGCAGCAGCCTGCTCTTCCTGTTGGGCCTTCCACCCCTCCTCCGCTGTTCTCCCCCCCACCCCCGCCGGTCTCCAGTAAAACTACCACCCCATAAAGGGAGGTTTGTTTACTGAGGAGCCTTCCAGAGGAGCTGGGCAAATCAGGCCCACAAAGACACCCTGTTCCTGGTGGGGAGTGTGCTCAGATGGGGTGGGGGGGCTGGGGAGTGAGGAGGAACACATACCTGAGGAAGACCTCCTCCATGCCTCCCAGAGGCCCTGATGGATCCCCCCATACCCACCCCCAGTCCACACACATACATTCCACTGCATTCTCAGGTCCATTTCAGCTGAGTGGGGACAGGGGGCCTGCCCCAGGTTGCAGACATGCACCCATGGGTTCCGTGAGGGGGCAAAGGCAGAACCACTCACCCCTGTTAACCTTTGGCTCAAGGACCCTAGGTATCTCCCCATAGGAAAGACTGGCCATGGCTCACCGTGTCCCAGACAACTCACTGCCCTTTGCCCACTCCAGTCACCAGATCCATCTCCTGGCTGCTCAGTCCTTCCTCCTCTGTGATGCCCAGCACCTGGCCAGGTGGGGCTGCCTTGGGTCGGAGTGGAATCCTTCCCTGGGACTAGAAAATCGCTCTGGTGTAGGGGCTCCGGCCAGGAGGTTTGGGCAGGGACCAGGGCAAGGTGGGGGAGATGGTCATCAGAGCAGTCTGATCACCAGGGAACTTCACACCCTTCTCTGGGCCACAGGCACAGAGATGAGGGCAGAATCATACCTGGACGGCAACCAGCCTTCATCTGGGTGGACAGAGTCTGCCCGAGCTTGCCCTTCTTCAGCCCCAGCCACTCCCCAGCAGAAGTCAGAGTCGCCCGTGGCCCACCATTGCCAGCGTGGCCTTTCAGTGGGAAGTAGAGCAGGGCAGCAGGGGCTCATTTGGGGCAGGGGAGGCCAGGCAGAAACTGTGACGTCTGGGCCAAGATATGGGCACCAATAGAATGTTTCCTCTGGAGCCAGACAGCCTGGCCCAAGACTCCACCGAGGTGGCTCCACAAATAGTCTGGCAGGCAGTGAGGGAGCAGTGAGGACAGAGCTGGGGGACATCCCAGGACCCTGGGGGCTGTGGGGAACCTGGGCCCACTGCCCATCGCACCGAACACTGACCAGCTTCACTGTGTGCCAGCTTGGGCCACTGGGGCCAAACTCTGGCTGCCTCCCCAGCCCCAGTGTTTGTGCAGGAAGCATGGTGCCAGGGGAGGAGGAGCTGGATGTGGTCCTGCAGCTACTGTTGACTCCCTGGGCAAGGGACTTAACCCCTCCCCCGCCCCCCGCCAATTTACATATTGGAAATAACACTACCTATCTCAAAAGGTGGTTGTATGGATTAGGTCATCTGAGACAACTTAGTCATACTGTGAAACTCCTCAAGGTGCCACTGCTTACGTCCAGGGAACGACCCTGCTCCTCTGGGGCCATAGAGATGAGAGAGGCCGGACACGGGCTGGGGTGCTCACTCGTGCCCACCTCCCTCCCTAGTTCTCTGATGGTGCCTTCCTGGGTGTGACCACGCTGAAACATGTCCATCTGGAGAACAATCGCCTGAACCAGCTGCCTTCCAGCTTCCCCTTTCACAGCCTGGAGACCCTCACCCTCACCAACAACCCCTGGAAATGTACCTGCCAGCTCCAGGGACTGCGGAGGTGAGAGGACCCCCGTGGTACCCCCAGAACACGCTCGTGTGATGGAGTAGAGACACACTGGCCCTGCACTAAGACATCCTGGGCATATGTCCTAGATCTCTACCTAATAGGTGTGGAACCCTGGGCATTTCCCGATTTGCATGAAGATGACAGTTCCAGACTACCTTAAAGCCAAGTCAACCTGGCCCCATGGCTCACTGGCCCTTCCTCCAGTACTCTTACTCTCTTCCCTACCCCAGCAACTCTCTGTCTCTCCAGGTGGCTGGAAGCCAAGACCTCCCGCCCTGATGCCACTTGCGCGTCGCCCGCCAAGTTCAGGGGCCAGCACATTCGTGACACGGACGCCTTCCGCGGCTGCAAGTTCCCCACTAAGAGGTCCAAGAAAGCCGGCCGCCATTAAACAGGTATGGCCTGGTGGGCAGGTCCCCCATTCCCTCTCTAGAGATTCTGGAAGTGAGGAGGGTGTCTCAGGATACTTCGCCACCATGAAAGGGCATGCAGACCCTCCATGTTTGCAGGGAGAGGAGGGGAGGACTGGGGCTCCCCCTCTAAGGGGGAAAATGATGCTGCCCAGGACCACCACCATTCTCTCCAAACACTGTCTAGGTTGTTGGAGTCCTGACACCAATCCTCGCCTCACCGCAGGTCCTGACCCAGCCGGTCCTGGTGACTGGTCTCTGCCTTCTGCCGGAGAAACTACTGATCCTCCCACCTCTGACCCCCACCTTCTCCCCACAGCCTTTGCTGATGCACAGAGCTGTCCACACCTAGACATGTCCTGGCAGGGGACTCGGGCACTGCAGCACAAACCCAGCTCCACCGGACGGTGAGAGCTTCATCACGCCTGGCCCCACGGCTACGGCTCCTCTCAGAGAAGCCGTTGCTGAGACCCCCCAAGTCCTTTAGAACCGGAACACGGTGGCCATCAGGATGGCCACTCTTCCAGAATCCTCGTCTCTGCTCCCCTTTCCCTGCCATTTGGAAACAAACATCAGATCCTTGCCCCACCCCTTGCTTCTAGGAAGGGTCTCAAGCCCCTACCCCCAACTTTGCCAGCCCCCGCCTGCCAGGACACTCTAGCCGGACACTGGTGCTTTGCCACACATCCTCCCGTGCTGCATTTCTTCCCCAGATTTCTATAAATATAAATTTATGTATGTGTAATATTTACTCCCCTGTCACCTATCTCTGTGACTTGAGAGCTGCCGATTAGGTAAGACTGTTTTGTCTCACATCTGCTTTCTGGAATGACGGCCAGCCGGAGGGTCTTCCTTGGAGACCCAGGCTGGGCTCCTCCCCACTCCCAGCAATCTCTTCTTGCCCAGCCCCGTCCTCCACTCACCACCAGTTCCTTCATGTTCAGCTTGTTGATGATGGCTCGGATCAGCTCTGAGGATGCAGGGGACCCACCGATCACACCTGAATCAGAGAGAGGGCTGACACAGCTCCCGCCTTCTCCAGGCCCAGTGGACCCTCCCTTCACCTACGGCCCTTTTTAGGAAATAACATTCCCTTCTCTCCCCAACCCCGGACCTATTCCTAGACCAGGCAGCTGGCCTTGGGCTGGAGTCTAGGGACACTGGGGATTTTCCTCCCTCCCACCCATGTTTCTACAGTGGCCTTCTTGCCCCTAAATGAAAGATTGGGCACGTATGTAGCTCACTGGGCCAATCCTGGCCTGCCACCCTTGGCCCCATCCCACCTCCACACATGGCTGAGATGTCATAACTTGAGAAGTCTGGCTGGTTCAGAATGTCCACGAACATTGTGGGAGTTCCGTACAGCAAGGAGCCTCTGTATGAGGGAGGTACATCTCAGAATCAGGCTTGGAAGTAGAAGGGAACTTCCTCTTCTCACCACCCTACCTGACCCTATAGTAAGGGCCAAGGCTGCAACTATGGGGAACAGGCAGGAGAAGCTCCTTGGAGGGAGGAACTGGTCCTTGCCTGGGGGTCTCCCACTACCCCGTCTCCATTTCTCCTGGTTGGAGGGAAGAGACATCTTGGAAAGGGATCAGGGCCCAGAAGTGAGGAATAGGAGGGTCTTATCAGCCCACAGATAGCTGTCCACTGATGCCCACCTCTCTCTGCTGATGGCCTCCAGCGCCTTCTTGCCATCAAAGACCGGAGAGGACAGGATGAGGGTGACCCCGTGCATCAAGCTCACCATTGTGCCTCCCACGGAACCCAGGCAGTGGTACAGGGGGCTGGGCAGGACCACCCGTGACTTGTCTGGTGGCTGGAGATGGAAGCAGGAGGCTGGGTCTATTGCGGGGCCCCCGGAAGCCAGTTCCTCTAGCCAGCGGGGGAGCCCAGCAAGCCCCCCACCGCCGGCACGGTGCCAGGGAAGCCCTTGCTGGGCCAGCACCCCCTCACCTTCTGGTGCAGTCTCAGGCGCTTTCCTATCATGTTGGAGTTGTTGACAATGTTGTAGTGGGAGAGCGTGGCCCCCTTGGGGCTGCCGGTTGTCCCCTGACAAGACAAGCAGGTGATGGCTTGGCCTCTTTCATCCCATCTCCTTCCCACCCTGGGCCAGTGCATGGAAGAGCACTGGACGGGGAGTCAGGAGACCGATACGGCTGCCCCAGATCCATTCATTCACTCAGTACATATTCACAAAGATTTGCCACATGCCTACACGGTGCCAGGTGTTAGGATCCACAGAGGTGGCAAATAAGGTCTGTCCTTATGCCGCTCAGAGAACTCTGGGGCTCACCAGCACATGCCCTCTCTGGACCTCAGTCTCCCGATCTGCTAAATGAGGGGCTCTGACCTGTGGTGGCTCAGTGCATCTGCCCCTGTGCTGGGGACAAGAGGGCCAGGGGAGGTGGGTGTGTGACGTGGACACCAGGTGCTGAAGTTTTCCCGGGCAGAGCAGACAGCTAGGGCCGGCCCCGCTAGAAGAGTGTTTGCTCTCCCCTGATCTCCTCTGCTGCCTCCTCCTTCTCGGGGGAGGGCCACATGACGGGCAAGCGTTAGTGTGCCAGCCTGGGCTCAGGACAGGAGACCTCTGCCCTACCGAGGTGAACTGGATGTTGATGGGGTCATGGCAGGATAGGAGCTGCTGGGTGTGCCGGAGCCGGGCCAGATTCTGCTCTTGACTGCCAGCTGCCACCACCTCATCCAGAAGCAGCGTCCCTGGCAGAGTGGCGTCCGCCGAGATGACTGTGGTCAGCTCTGGGAGCCTGGGGGTAAGGGAGCATGGTGAGAGTCGGGGGCTGAGGAAGGGCCCACAGAGATGGGGACGGGATGAGGGGGCCAGGAGGCTGCACGAGGCACGCCTCCCAATCTGGGACACCCCCACCTCTGACTCTTCAAGTGCCCCGGCTGGGCCTTCTCCACCTCTGGACAGATCTGCTTCAGGATGTTGTAGTAATGCTGGGTCTTGAATTGCCTGGGGAACACGAGGGCTTTGCAGCCCACCTGTAGGAGGGGAGCGCCCCACCACGGTCAGCAGGAAGACCCAGCCTGGGGATGTGGTGGCGTCCTAACAGTTGCTCTCCTGCCCACACACACCACCACCACGACACACACATGCACCACCCCCGACACACACACACCACCCCCAACACACACACTAGCCTGTCTGACCAACAGCCCACTCTTCCCACCCACTGTCTAAGGAAGGACAGACTCTGGGGGTCACTCCCTTGAGCATGGCCCCCCAGCCCAGTCAGCCCTCTATGACAACTGGAAGCCCCCTGTGCCACCAGCTGGCTCCCCCGCCCCCACCAAGGCTAGGAATGGGCCTACCTTCTTGAGGGCATACTCCACCTCCATAGCCTGGTAGGCTGGGTTCACAGACACCTGGTGGAGACAGAGAGGGTACATCATGTGTCCTGGGCAGACTCTGTCCCTCTCACTGCCCCTCTACTCTCAGAGGCAGCACCCTGTACCTTCAGGCTTCCTTGGTGGGCTTCAGGAGAAAGCACCAGCTGGTCTGAAACCAGCCAGGCACCGGTATGATTCTGGGGCCAAGGGTCAAGGGGGTTCCCCTGAATGATGCCCCCCCCCCACAGCCAGCTGTGCCAGGTAAGCCCCTCCTCACCAGAATGATGCCTGCCTGGGCCGTGGCCAGCTGCATGAGTACCCATGCGTAAGAGTTGGGTCCCCACATGCCCAGACGGTCACCCTTGCGGAGGCCAGTACTCAGGAGCCCAGAAGCAGCTTTGTCCACCTGGTATAAACAGGGCGCAAAAGGGTGAGATGCAGGTGAGCAGAAAGGGGCCCATGACTCGCCCCTTAGCCTTTGGCCCAGGGGTTCACATCAGAACCACCTGGGAACAAGGGACAGGCAGATACCTAGGCCTCAGCAGATCTGGAGGCGGCTTGGGAACATGCGTAGTTAACCAGTGTCCCAAGAACGACTGATGCAGGAGGCACCTGGGCCACCTCTGCCTCAGTCCTGCCCTCCTCTCCTGACATCCCTTGGGGCTCTCAGGCAGCCCCAGCACCCTGCCCCACAGCTAGGCACCACCCTTGCTGCTCCACCCAGCCAGGGCAGCCTGGGGGCCAGCACCTGCCCACTTTGAGGGTTCAAAGTCAGGACCCACCTCCTCCTTGAGCTGGGCAAAGGTCAACCTGATGTTTTCGTGGTGGACAACCAAGGCCTCTCGGTCCGGGACCCTCTGCGCTGTGGCATTCAGGCATTGCCCCACAGTCTTGTTAATGAGGTGCAACGTGCTGTGGCCCTGGACATGGCTGAGGCCTCCAATGGGCAGGGTGGCGGTGCGATCCATCTCTCCAGAGCTGTGGGGAGAGGGGCTGTGGGCTCAACTGCACCAACCCAGGCGTCCTGGCAACAGAGGCTGGCACACCCTGCTGGGAGGTAGGCTGCTTACAATGTGTGCGGGATACTCCAGAAGCTGTCTGATCCGCCCCATCCCCAGGGACCATCATCATTTAACTTAGGACCTGCTTCGCCCTTGGGAGATCAAACCTGGAGGCTGACTTCCTGTCGTTAATCAGAGAGAAGGTTCTTTTCCCCAACCTACTCCCCAGTTTCCACTCAGTGCCAGGGGCCTGGAGCCTTGGTGCCAAAACCCTGGAAAGGGAAACTAAAGTCAATCACGCTGATTTGACGAAGCAGGGAGGTGGCCTGTGTGGGCTAGGAATGGCCTCATCCTACACACTGCTTCCTCCTAGTGAAAAGGCCCCTGGGTATGTGTCAAAACCCACAGAATAGTCTAACACAAGGACTAAACCTTAATGGACTACGGACTATAGTCAATAATAACGTACCATACTAGTTCCCTAATTGTAACAAATGTACCACACTAATGCAGACGTTAATAGCAGGGAAACTGTGCCGGGGTGGGGTGGGGGGTGGGTATAAGGAACTCTATGTTCAATCTGCTCAGTTATTCTGTAACTCTAAAACTGTTTAGGGGGACTTCTCTGGTGGCGCAGTGTTTAAGACTCCACGCTCCCAATGCAGGGGGCCCAGGTCTGATCCCTGGTCAGGGAACTAGATCCCACATGCATGTCGCAACTAAGAGTTCACATGCCACAACTAAGGAGCATGCCAGCCGCAACTAAGGAGCACACACGCCACAACTAAGGAGCTGGCGACCTGCAGCTAAGGAGCCCGTGAGCCGCAACTAAGGAGCATGCCTGCTGCAACTAAGGAGCACACACGCCACAACTAAGGAGCTGGCGACCTGCAGCTAAGGAGCCCGTGAGCCGCAACTAAGGAGCATGCCTGCTGCAACTGAGACCTGGTGCAACCAAATAAATAAGTTAAATAAATGCACATTTAAAAAAAATTAAAAATAAAACTATTAATTACTAAAACTATCTAAAGTCTATTCATTAATTAAAAGCAAAAACAAAAAAAGGTCCCCAGCAGTCCAAGTGTCACAGGCCTAGGGCTGCTCGTGCCCGCTTCGCTGCCCTGGGTGACGGCTGCTGGGCTCCCACCCAGGCCCAGCTGGGAGTGTGGTAGCTCTCAGACCCTGTTCTCATCAGAGAGGGCATGCTCCAGGACCCTTCCAGGATCCTTCCAGGCCTCCTCTGGGCCACCACTGGGTGGTGTGGGCCCCAGGGACCCTTCCTGATGATTCAGTCCTGCAGCTGCTGAGCTGAAAAGACCGAGCCTGGCTTTCACTGACTGACCACTTATGGGGGAGAATTTCTGGGAAGAACAAGGTATGCAGGGCAGAGCAGAGCAAAACTGGTTTTCCCTGTAAATGGGTGAGGAGACCTCATGTCACAGGAGGGCGGGTCCCAGTGTGGGCTGATGGGGAGGCTGTCCTGACTTCAGCGAGCTGAGCCACACATTGGGAAGCGAGCGAGCACTGGGCTGGAGTTGGGGGCTTGAGGTCTCATCCCAGGTGTACCACCCGCTGGGTGGGTGGCTGTCACAGACACCTTTGGTGTCCCTTGACATGTCTCCGCAGTGCATCTCTGGTTTCAGCTGCTGGGACAGTTCCTTGCGGTTCTGTCTGCTCAGGGACTCCCTCAAGTCTCCTCTTCTTAGCTGGACAGTTCTGGGAGGCATCGAGTCCCGGGGGGAAGACCCTGGTTGCCTGCACACACGCCATACTGACTTCTCTTCTTGTCTCCTCCGCACTCCCTCACTCCTACTTCCTAGGATCGCAGATAAATCACCAGCATCCAAGTCCTTGCTCTCAAGAGAATCCAAGTTAAGATACCTGTGTCTTCATCCCTCTAGGCCTCAGCTTCCCCACCTATAAAGTCTGAGGACTTGGATCAGTGGTTATCCTCAAAGGGATGCTATTTACCTACCTGGGCAATCTTCTCAAAGGGCTGTAGGGAGCCACCTAAGCCAGGTGTTTCCCTCAGGTATGCTGGAGCTGAAAACAGCCAGGTGTCACGGGCCTCTGAAGCCCTGCCAGCAGCCCACATTCAGGTTGACAAACCTAAAGAACTACTAAGGTAGTTCCCTGTGGTCACCATGACACCCCTCAAGAGAAACTGTGTACCCAAATCCTTCACTCACAGGCATACTGTGGAGGGCGTCCATTTTTGCCCCCCGGGAAACACATACGCTCTTTTCTTCGGGTTTGCCAAGGTGGTAGGGGCAAGAGCAAGCATGTGGAGAAAACCTGCTTAAGAAGAAAGTCAACACAGAGGAAAGTAGGAGAGATGGAAAGAGACAGAGAGACAAAGAGAGACAGAAACAGAGACAGGAAGACCCAGTGACAGACTTATTCTTGCGATTGTCGAATACCTAGACCCAGTCACGTGTTAAGCCTACCGACCTCTGGACTTTTCACTGTCAACAGTCAATAAATTCCCTCTTTCAATTTAAGCCAGTCTGGGGGTCGGGGAGGGGAAAGCTGAACTCCATTTGCAACAACATGGATGAACCTAAAGGACATTATGCTTAAGGGGAATAAGCCAGACACAGAAAGATTAATACTGCATGATCTCACTTATATATGTAATCTAAAATATGAACAAACAAACAAATTTAAGCCAGTCCGAGTTCGGTTTCCATTGCTTACAACTGGTGAATCCTAACTATATACATTTTTTGCGTTCAGTGGCTTACCACTGCCCTTGAAAGCCTGGCAGGCCGCTTCCCAACAGCCCAGCATCTGGATTAGAAGGCAGAGAAATACAGATCTCAGCCAGTTTAATGGTCACATTGTCAACAGATCATTAAAGGTGGGGAGCGGGGGGATCTGCCTGACAACACGGACCCTCTTCTTCTCAAAATGACCCGGAGTCCTATTTTGTTTGGAATCTGGTTTTCTACACATTCACCATGGTTTTCAGTGGCTTCTTGGAGTGTCTAGTTGGCAAATCAACAGGTTGATTAATGTGCCCCCCCGCCAAATGCAGTTCAATTGCCCTGTGTATTATCTCCTTTATCTTCATGGTGGCTCTGATAGATGGTATGAGACAGACCCCCAGTAGCCCCTTCTCCCTTAATAATACACCCTCGGATGTTCACCTGGCTATGGCCAGGTGGAATAGAGACCACATTTCCAAGCTTCCCCAGCAGGTGGTCTGGTCCAAGAATAAAATTCTGGCCAAGGGGACTTAAGGAGAGGTCGTGAGTGCAGGTTCTGAGAAGAACCCTTAAAGAGAAGCACATCTTTTTTTCTTTCCCACTGGCTGTAATGCTGCCCATGACAGTTCTCTTGGACCACATGGTGAGCTTGGGCACCACAGAGCAACAGACAGAAGGGCCTGGAGTCTGACAGCAGGCTCTACCATGCCGGCCACAGACTGGCCATCTCCCAGAAGAAGAAACTCCCATCTCCTAAAACCACGGTGAGAGGGGATTTTTGTGATACACGCTAAGCCAATTCTGAAAAATACAGGTGGGAATGATGAACTCTCATTGTACAGGTAAGGAAACTGAAGTGCAGAGAGGCAAAGTGGGCCGCCCAGCTGGTAAATAGCTGAGCCTGAAGTGGAGAGTTCAGTACCACTGCCCCAGCATTACAGCCTTGCCTGCCCAAGCCAGGGAGAAAGGATAGGATGGGTAATTCTCTTCTTTAGGCTCTGGATTTAGTCCCTATCTGATCAACAGAGATTGTCTAATCTCAATTTTATTTTTCCACAATTGTTTACTAATTGAACCCAAGAAACTGGGACTGCGTAGGGCAGGGTTGTGGTGGAAACAGATTGCTCCTTCAGAGGATTGAAGGGTTCTAGAAACACATACCAATGCAATTTGCTCATAAACTTAAGAACCACGCATCGTTTGGAAAGACCGAGTGCAAACACCACTGATTCTACTTCCCTCCTTCCTCAGACCCACCCAAGCGCCTTGGTCAAGAAGGGTGGCCTCTTCTTTTTCTACTCTTAAACAAAGTGGCAGATACCCCCATTTAAACCTGAAAAAGACAATAAAGAGATTTGGTTTCAGGAAAAGTTGTTTGCTTGTTTGTGGAAAGTTTAAGGAGTTGGAGCAGGACCGCCAGGAGTCCCAGCTGCTACCAACTCAAACAACTAGAGTAAGCCTTTAGCGACGCGCACTGGGTACTATAAAACGCCAGGTGGGAGTGAGTCAGCCAGGCAGGAGCTGGGAGGGAACTGGAGACAAGGTACAGCCCCACCTAAAGCTGTCCACAGAGAATGGGCCTGTGAAAATTCAGGCCCGGATCGGCTGCCAGATCCGATTTCATAAGAGAAGTCAGGAAACAAAGATTTAAAAAATATATAATTCTTTTGACCTTTCATCTTTGGCAACTAATGTGTTCACTGTTTTATCCTCAGTGCTTCACAGGGCCTGGAATGTAAGAAGTGCTCAAATGAATGACCAAAAGAATGAATTATAAATAATGCACATAACCCAATTAAAAATAAGCAAACAACTTGAATAGATTTTCTTCCAAAGAAGATATATGAATGGCCAACAAGCACATGAAATGCAAATTAAAACCACAATGAAATACCACTTCACGCCCACTAGGAAGGCTGTAAACAAAAAACCAAAATATCAAGTGTTGGTAAGCATGTGGAGGAACTGAAACTTTTTTTCCGTTGCGGAGCACAGGCTCCGGACGCGCAGGCTCAGCGGCCATGGCTCACGGGCCCAGCCGCTCCGCGGCATGTGGGATCTTCCCAGACCGGGGCACGAACCCGTGTCCCCTGCATCGGCAGGCGGACTCCCAACCACTGCGCCACCAGGGAAGCCCAAGACTAACTTTTATGCAATAAGGCAGGGCTGCAGGCTGCCCATGAAGTTCATGTGCTGTTCTCTTGGGCAAGCCTCAGTCCTCAGTCAACATACTCACCCTTGTGTGAGACACAGCTCCAGCTAAATGTGCCAATGCATCTTCTAGCTCATGGCAGATGAGAGGCAGGCTCTCCTCTTCCATCTCCCTTGCACATCACCCCAAGATTCATTATTCAACCCAGCAGCCCAAGTACTGCTCACTGATCCACGCACCATGGGGCTGCATTCTTGCAGGGGTTGGGGCGGGGGGGCTCCTTTCCCTAATTTTCAGAAAGACACTAGGCTAGTGGTCAATCTGGGAGTAGAGATGGCAGATGGTTGGGCTGGAGGGGACAACTTTTAACCTGTAATAACTGTTTTATCCTGAAATAAAGTTATTTTTATGTACCCACAAAGATGAGTGACACATTTATACCAGCTACAACATACAACTAGTGTTCAAGAAAATGAAGGAGCTGTTGTGACAAATAAAACCCAAAGAGCACTAGTGAATGGTCATTTTCTTAACTGATGGCCATTTTAATGTGCAGTGGCCACCAAGAGCACGAGAATGACTATGATGTTGAAAGGTCCTCAGCAAAAAATAAGAATTTCGGGGGCTTCCCTGGTGGCTTAGTGGTTAAGAATCCACCTGCCAATGCAGGGGACATGGGTTCGTGCCCCGGTCCGGGAAGATCCCACATGCCACGGAGCAACTAAGCCCGTGTGCCACAACTACTGAGCCTGTGCTCTAGAGCCCGTGAGCCACAACTACTGAGCCCATGTGCCGCAACTACGGAAGCCCACACGCCTACAGCCCGTGCTCCACAATGAGAGAAGCCACTGCAATGAGAAGCCCGCGCACTGCAATGAAGAGTAGCCCCCACTCTCCACAGCTAGAGAAAGCCCGCGCACAGCAACGAACACCCAACACAGGCAAAAATAAATAAATTTATGAAAAAAGAATTTCGACCTAAGTCTCTTAGGGGAAAAAAAAACACCACCTCAAAATAGATCACAGACTGCATGTAAAACATTAGAAACATTTAGAAAACAACATGGGAGAAAACCTTTAGGATCTAAGGCTAGGCAAAGTTTTTAAACTTGACACTACAAGCACGATCTATAAAATTAATAAACTGACCTCATCAAAATTAAAACTTTTCGCTCTGCGAAAGACCCTATTAAGAGGACAGAAAGATGAGATACAGAGTGGGAGAAAATATTTGCAAACCACATATCTGACAAAGGACTAGTATCCAGATTGCATAAAGAACTCTGAAAACTCAACAGTTAAAAAAAAAAAATTCAACTGGAAAATGAGCAAAAGACATAAAGAGATACGTCACCAAAAAGGATATACAGGTGGCAGATAAGCACATGAAAAGTTATTCAAGGGACTTCCCTGGTGGCGCAGTGATTAGGAATCTGCCTGCCAATGCAGGGGACACGGGTTCGAGCCCTGGTCCGGGAAGCTCCCACATGCCACGGAGCAACTAAGCCCGTGCGCCACAACTGCTTAGCCTGTGCTCTAGAGCCTGTGAGCCACAACTACTGAAGCCCGCGAGCCACAACTACTGAAGCCCACGTGCCTACAGCCCATGTTCTGCAGCAAGAGAAGCCACCGCAATGAGAAGCCCGCACACCGCAACGAAGAGTAGTCCCCGCTCGCCACAACTAGAGAAAGCCCGCATGCAGCAACGAAGACCCAACGCAGCCAAAAATAAATAAAATAAATCTATTAAAAAAAAAAAAACAACAGTTCTTTGATGATATAATATTGGGGACCACAAGGTGTAACTGGGCTGCCCAGTTCAGTGGGCCTAGAAGCCACACCATCTCCATCACTCTCTGCTGGGATAGCCCCTTGACACATTTGTTAGACCTATTCTGAGGCCCCCACTTCTCAGCTTGCCTTTATGCTGCCACACCCAAGAGGTGAAATATTGAGCATAGGAGATCATGTCCTTTTCCCCGTGGTCATCAAGGAAAGCTAAACTGTTTAATGTATAACACACACTTTCATGAATTTTTTTGTCAAGATTAATAGGTCACTCCTCCCAAAAGCAACCCTTGAGTTTTGAGCAAAAGAAGATAGACACAAGAGTATATACTCTGAGAGTCAAGAATAGACAAAATTAATCTATGGAGATTAGAAATCAGAACAGTGATAGTCTCTGGTTGGGGAAGGGAACTGACTGGAAAGGGGCACTAGAGAAATTTCTAGAACTGTGCTGTCTATATGGTAGCCTAGTCACATGTGGCTCTGGAACACCTGAAGCATGGCTAGTCTGAACTGAAGTGTTCTGTAAGTGTTAAATACACACCAGATTTGGAAGACTTTATGAAATAAAGAATATAAAATACCTCCTTAGCAATTTTTAAAAGATTGAGTACCTGCTGAAATGATATTTTGGCTATACTAAGGTAAAGAAAATATATCATTAAACTTATTGCCTATTTCTTATTACTTTAATATGGCTACTAGAAAACATAAAATTCCACATGTGGCTCACAGTATATTTCTACTGAACAGCACTGTTTTAGAGCGATAGACAAGTTCTGTATCTTGGGGTGTTGAGTAATGGGTGAATACATTTGTTAATATTCATCAAACTGCAGAACCAAGATTTGTGCGTTTTACTGTCTGTAATTATACCATAAAGTCCCATGATCTTTCCACCACCCAACATAACCTTCCTGAAGGAGTGCACAGCTTACAAAGAACGTAGACTACAAAGAACCCCCAAGGTAAGAGCTACAATGAAGATTTTGAGCAAGGCACTCTGTCTTGGTGGAAGCTTCCTTTTTTTTTTTTTTTTTTTTTTGCGGTACGCGGGCCTCTCACCGTTGTGGCCTTTCCCGTTGCGGAGCACAGGCTCCGGATGCGCAGGCTCAGCGGCCATGGCTCACGGGCCCAGCTGCTCCGCGGCATGTGGGATCCTCCCGGACCGGGGCACGAACCCGTGTCCCCTGCATCGGCAGGCGGACTCTCAACCACTGCGCCACCAGGGAAGCCTGAAGCTTCCATTTTTAGCTCGAATAAAACTGATGGCGTATATGTGTTTTTGCAGAGAAAGTAAACAGGAAATTATTATTTGAGTCCAGTAAACTCAAGAAGACAGAGGGCCTGAAATACTTGGGGTTAGGAGGCATCCATGCTGCAGATTTTCCCTTGGGCCACTGTTCGGGGCTCATGGGGAAAGTACACAGGAGCCAGGGGTGGAGGCTGATTCAGAACACCTGCCCTTGATGGCATCACTAAGGTGCATACAAGGTTTAGCTCTTAGCTTTCTAGGGTCAAAACCCTCAATGTTTTCTGTTCACTCATAGAGGACTAGAGAAAACCAGAGAGTCCAGAGGTTAGGAAGAGTTCATAAGGGTTTAAGCATAAGTAAGATTTCATACAAGTATGAAGGCTTCCTACTTTGACCACAGCCCTCTCTTGGATTCAGGGATCCAAGTCTCAAAGCCCAGCCTCCTTAGGAATCACAGAATGTCCACAGAAATACTGCAGAGTGCTTCTTATCCAAGTGGCCTATTTTACAAAGAAACCAAGGTCCGTAGAGGTTGAGGGACTTGCCTAAAGGCATACTGGTCGGGCTGGGCTTGCTTTCCTGTCATTCAGCTCCCAAACTGAGAAATACATGCATGCCAATGAGATTCACAGAACATGATTCCTAAGGTAGAAAAACAGCTTGTTTATTTCTGAAGGGAGAGGCTCCTGGCAGAATTATTGGTTCCTGTCATTTATCAGGACACTCCTCTAGCAAGGCCCCTTGAAGAGATGCAATTACATCCTGTACTTTGGTTTGATCAGGGGGGAAAAAAAGCAGTCCTTTATCCCAACACTCAGCGTAATCACGGATGGGTCTGTCAACACAACCAGAGCAGCCCCAGCTTGGTTTAAGCAGTTACCTCTGCCAGAACGGTCTTCCTCCTGCTCTCCACACAAGGCTCTAAACGGTGGGTCTTGGGGGTCATTGCAGGAATGCGCAAAGCCATTGTTACATAAGTACTTTCTGTCTCATAACTCATTAGCACCAGGCTGTGGGTAAGAATTTTCTTACGCGACCTCATTTAACTCTCACTCTCACGACAACACTATTTACACATAACAAAAGTCTCAAGTTTAACTTAGTCCCAAAGCTACCAGCTAGAAAGTGGTTCTTTTGAACTTAGATCTGTCTGGCTCCAAAGTCTTTGTCTGTAGATGGAATAAATAAATAATGTGGGAGATGTTAGGAGGGCTTCCTACGCAGGGTTCAAAAGAGTTCAAGCACAAGCAAGAGTTTATATCAATACAAGCATACAGCCTTCATCCTTCAAACCACAGACCTATCATTGGAGGGATCAGGCTCAAATTCCAGCTTCTTTAGGAAGTCTTACCTAATCCCATTCCCACCTATCAGATTCTTCCCTGCTTTGATTGACACTCTCCTGGTAGAGCATCCTTACTGCCTTGAATCAGTGGGTCTATGATCCTTCCCTGCAGATCCCTTTCTGGCAAAGAAGCCACTGGAAACAAGTTCATTCATCCTTGTATCCTCCACTGCACCCTCTACAGTAGATTGCATACCTACTGTGTGCAAGGCAGGAGAGGTAACTAAAACCGATGTGTACCAGTCACTGATTACAACGTCCAAATTTATAGTTTATTTTC